CCCAAATGGTGATATGATTAGATAACATTTAGGTCTGTTTAAATACTGATATTTAGACGATTTTATAATTATAAAGAAACTCTAATCAAATTCATGGTTATTTTTCATCTTTTTACAAGTAGTGATTATTACCCATTTAATAATGCTTTTTAAAAATGAAGCATAAAGGATTTCATTTGCCTATTGTCATTCATAGTATGTACCTGCACCAGAATCCGATTCAGTCGTGGTAGCAACTTAAAGATTCAAATAACTTGCAAATTATAATTATTGGGATAGTTTTCCTTGCGAATTAAAATTAACCAAAATTTGATAATAGATAATTAGATCTCTTGGAACCTTCATGCTGTGAAGAAGTTCTTGCCGTCCAGAAGAGACCATGTGCAGAAGAATCAAAGACCCTGGTGCCCACACCCTAGCTGTGCCCCCCACCTTTTTCCTCACAAGCCAGCACCAACTTGCCAGCCATGCGAGCTGTTATACCGGGAGATCCTCTCTCCTCCAGTTGAGCATCCCCATGTGAAGCCATGTGGAGCAGAGACCTGCTGGCCCCATCAAGCCTGGCCCAAATTATTAGCAGGACAAATGGTTATTGCTGTTCTAAGCTGCTAAGCTTTGGAGTAGTTTGTTACACAGCAATAGGTAACTGACTTAAAAGTCACAAAATATGATGGTAGGAATAAGTGGAAAGGTACCAGCAATAATAAATGTAAGTGAATCAAACTCACTTAAAATTCTATCAGGTTAGAGCTACAAATTATAAAACCTAGCCATATGGTTGCTTTGAACTATATATGTTTTCAGTAACACAGAAAGTTTGAAAATTAAAGCCTTGAAGATTATAGATATACCTGGCAGATGCTAAAAAAAAAAAAAAGGAGATGGTATAGCAATATCAGTAAAACATACACTTGAATAAACAACATGGATTAAGAGAAACAGTAGATCATGATAAAAAATATATTTTAAAAGATGGCAATTGTGAAACCTAGAGTCACTGAATATATGAATCACTTGGAGGAATTGATAAATCCTTTCTCATTTTGGGAAATTTTGACATAACCATTCAGAAGTGATGAATCTCTCAGACAGTGAGTGTTAAACGGAATAATTATACATTTGGGTGAGAATGAGGGCAAGAGCCTTCCTACATTGTCAGCATACATGTGTTGTCATTGCTCTTTAGGCAACGATCTGGCAACATCTATTAACAATACAAATCCAGTATTTTCACCAATGCCTCTCCTGGAATCTATCCCAGAGAAATAGAAGGACTGATCTACCAACATGCTTATTGCATCCTTGCTCATAGAAACGAGGACACATAAATTGGATGCCCGTCAGTAGGAGAATACATTTCACATATGCCGTAAACCAATAATACATTGCTACTATTTTGCTCCTGAAATCAGTTTTCTTTCAGAATGATTAAAAATAAAAATGTCGGAGAAGTGGCTGCAGCGCCGAGTGGAGGAGGTGGGAAGCCAAGTGCGAGCAGGGGCTGGGTGGGCACCGTGGCCGGGATCACCACCACTGAGGCGGCGAAGTGCAGGATCCAAGTTCTGCAGCAGCAAGAGGGGGAGGAGGAGCTGCAAGATGATGCAGAGGAGAGGGCCAAGCACCTGCAGCGGGAAGGGGAGGGGGAAAGGCGGGCCCAGGAGCAGGCCGAGGCTGAGGTGGCCTTGAACCGTAGGATCCAGCTGGACTGTGCCCAGGAGCACCTAGCCACAGCCCTGCAAAAGCTGGAGGAAGCAGAGAAAGCCGCTGATGAGTGTGAGAGAGGTATGGAGGTTATTGAGAACTGAGCCTTAAAAGATGAAGTACAGATGGAACTCCAGGAAATCCAGCTCAAAGAGGCCAAGCACATTGCAGAAGAGGCAGATCGGAAACATGAAGAGGTGGCTCAGAAGTTGATGATTATTGAGGGGGACTCAGAAGGCCCAGAGGAACGAGCTGAGCTGGCAGAATCCCGTTGCTGGGCGATGGATGAGCAGATCAGACGGATGGACCAGAACCTGAAGTGTCTGAGGGCTGCTGAAGAAAAGCACTCTGAGAAGGAAGACAAAGATGAGGAAGAGATAAAGATTCTCATGGATAAACTCAAGGAGGTAGAGACCTGTGCTGAGTTTGCTGAGAGATCGGTAGCCAAGCTGGAGAAGACGATTGATGATTTGGAAGATAAGCTGAAACGCACCAAAGAGGAGCCCCTCTGTACACAAAGGATGCTGGACCAGACTCTGCTTGACCTTAATGAGATGTCGAGCACCCCAGTCCAGCCCTGCTGCTGCTCCTCCCCTGATCCCCCCAACTCCACTCCAGCCTGCCCAAAGCTGGCCTTGAAACCAAGGGCTGATCTCTAACTGGAAGGCTGCTTTCTCCTTTTGCCACCTCTGCTACCCCAACCCCTGTGTCTTTTTTGCCAAACTGTCTCTGCCTCTCCCTAGAGATTCCAGTTGGGCTTGAGGCTGAGCACCTTTGGGAACAATGTCTAAGGGAATGTGAGCACAAAGCAAAGTGTCTTTAAAAGCATGTTGTAATGTACACATTTTATAATTATCTTTTTTGTTGTTGTTGATGTAGCGACCATTTGTAAAACATTCCAAATAATTCCACAGTTATGAAGCAGCAGTCTAACCCCTTCCTCACATTTGGAAAGTAGCTTTTCAGCTTAATGCAAACTGCCCTCTCCACAGAGGAGGGAAAGCAGTAGGGGCCCGCCTTCTGAGCTTCATTGCTCTGTCCAAAGTACCAGCCAAATTAGGTGGTTCCAGGAGGAGTTGGCGCAAAAAGTGGGGCTCAGGGTTTCAGCTTTAAGGTATCTTTGAGCAACTTTATTTTTAATTTTTTTTTTCTGTCAGATGTGACCAAGGGGTGGCTTGACTCCTCTTCAGCACTGTAATGGCACCACTCCCTTTAGATCGGCTTGCATAGTTTCTCATGAGCCATCTGCCATAATTCTGATCTTTGTGTCTGCGTATTTCCTGTGTTTTCCCCCTCTCTGGCTGCCTTCGAGATTTTCTCTTTGTCTTTGGTTTTCAGAGTTTAAGATGATGTGTCTATATGTGTGTTTTTATTTTGTTTTGTTTTGTTTTGAGTGGATTTGGGGGATATTCTCTGAGCTTCTTGGACCATTGTTTGATTCTTTCATTATTTTAATGCTCAGTCATTACGTCTTCAAGACTCAAGTCCACTGTTGAACCCCTCTAGGTGTTCTTTACTGCTAATACCATGTATCTTTTAAATTCTGGCATTTACATTTGTCACTTTCTTATAGTTTTCAACTCCACTGAAACTCCCCATCAGTCCAAACATATGTAGATTCATAGTAGATTTTGTAAATCATAGTTCATTTAAATTTGTTTGATATTTTTACTATCTTTGTATCAGTCTGATACTGCAGATTACTTTGTCTCTTGGGTGTGGGTGGTTTTTACTTGGTTGTTTCATACATTTTGGTTGAATGCTGGACATTATACGCTGTATACATTGTACGGGCTGAGATAAATTGTGTGGGAATAAGCATAGCTTTTTATTTGCTGGAACAGATAGTAAATATTTTTTACTTTGCAAGTCATACAGTCTTTGAGGTAGATTATCTGTCACTGTCATCTGTCAATAATAGATTAATTTTTTCAATTAATATTTACATGGTATATCATTTTCCATCCTTTTGTTTTCAACCTAACTATATTTGAAGTGAGTTCTATTTGAAATTTCTTATAGGTAGCATATAGTTGGGTCTTAAGTTTTTTATCCACTCTGCCACTCTTTGATTTTAATTATTTAGAACATTTGCAATTAATGTAATTATTGATAGATATGTTAGAGCTTAATTCTGCCATTTTACTCTTTTCTCTTTGTTCCCTCTTTTTCATATGTCTGTCTTGTCTTTCTGCCTTCCTGTATATACCTGAACAGTTTTTTAGAATTCCATTCTGATGTATGTATAGTATTTTTATGTGCATCTCTGTGTAGATTTGCTCTAAACACTATACATGCATGACTTGTCGCAATCTAGTATTGTTGACATTTAACAGTTCAAGAGAAAAGTAGAAACCTTTTCTGTCTTTACATCCCTTTGCCCTCCCTGGTTTATAATATAATTGCCTTATATATTCCCTTATATATGTTGAGAACCACATAAGACACTGTTAAAATTTTTTGCTACAACTTTGAAACATAATTTAGAAAACTCAAGAGGAAAAGGAAAGTCTATTATATTTACTTGTATTTTCTCTTTCCGTTGTTCTTTCTTCCAAGAGATTTGTTGATTGTTTTTGCTGTCTTGTAACTATTTCATGTTTAGATTCCCATAGACTGTTGACTGAGGAAAAAGAGACAAAACAATAGGCTATTTATCTGTAAATAGAAAGATTGAAATGACAGTGTAGAGAAGTGAGGTCATGTTCTGAATTAGGCACTTTTCTTGGACTTGGTAAGACCCAACCACCACTTTACACTGTGGAAATCTAATGATTTAGGGGGATGCCACTGATGAGAAGGCCAGTAAGGATCTAGTAAGTGAGGGGCTGAGGAAGCCCCAAATTTCCTTCCTGATTGGCAAGTTTGTAATTTATTATGTTCAGTTCCTAACTGTGACCATCTGAGTTCAAAAGATTTTTACTCAAATACTTTATAGTAAGTGATAAACCTGATTCTCAAGATTCTTGACAAAAGTCATCTAGAAGGGTTCTTTTGCATTATCTTTTCAATGTTATAATTTTTTTTTAAGATTTTTATTTATTTGTCTGAGAGAGAGAGAGCACAAACAGGAGGAGTAGAGGGAGAGGGAGAAGCAGGCCCCCCTGCTGAGCAGGGAGCCCGATGCAGGACTCGATCCCAGGATCCTGGGATCATGACCTGAGCCAAAGGCAGACGGTTAACCAACTGAGCCACCCAGGCATCCCTAATGTTACAATTTTAAAGCAGTTACTCTTGTTCTGATTAATTCCGTGTTAAGGAGAAAAACACAGTGTATGTGGCTTTTCTTTCTTTATTAGGCACAAGACCTGAATGTCATCGAAGAAGTGATTCGAATGATGTTAGAGATCATCAATTCCTGCCTGACAAATTCTCTTCACCACAATCCAAACTTGGTGTACGCACTGCTTTACAAACGAGATCTCTTTGAACAGTTTCGAACTCATCCTTCATTTCAGGATATAATGCAAAATATTGATCTGGTAAGTGTAAATGGAGATATTCTGGTTCTTTTTAAGTATCAAAGCAGCAAATGTTGAACAAACCTTGACAAAAACTACAAAAGTGAAAATCCCTTCTTTTTTTTTTTTTAAGATTTTATTTATTTATTTGACAGAGAGAGCACAAGCAGGGGGGAGGGGCAGAGGGACAGACATAT